CACTGGGCGGGCTTCCCCTCACCATCCTCCGGGGGCTTCATTCCTCCTCCAGGGGGTGCCCAAGTCCCGGGAGGTCTGGGGCGGAGGCGGGTGGAGTTCTCCTCCATCTGGGGTCCTGAGAATGTGCCGCCCCTGACCTGGGGCCCCCCAGGAGCCAGCTGCAGCCCCCTGCCTGCGCTCCAGGAAGCCTGACCGACCAAGGGGCCTCTGGCGCCGCCAGCCCTGGGCTCCCCGCCCGGCCCCGACCTCTGGTGACCTCCCCAGGCCGTGCCCCCCGCCCACACCCACCGTGCCCTCGGCCTCCCGTGGGGGGCACTGCGGGCGGCCTGACGCCAGGGACAGCCCCTCAGCGCGGAGCCTGAAGCCGGGGGCGGGGGGTGGGGGGCGCCAGAGCTTGGGCAGGGACCCGGCCGCCCAGGCCCTCGGGGGCGCTGCTTGAAGAATCCACGTTGCCACGACCCGGAAGGGCCGGGAAGGGCACCCGCGGCGCCCTCGGGAGTCAGAGCCACCCCCACGCTCGGCCCAGGAGGGGCGCCCCGGGCAGCTGGCTGCGAGCTGGTCGGTGGCACCCCGGACCCTCCGGCGAGGCCCCTTCCCGCCCACTGCCGGTTTTCGGGGTCCCACGACGGCCAGGCAACGTGCGGCAGCCGCCGAAGGCCCAGGCCTCGCCCGTCGCGCGGGGTCCCCGTCTTCCCGTCCCCCCATCAAGCCCGGCCGCTCCACTCTCTCCCCTGGAGCCAGGCCTTGCCGCGTAGCTCCAGGCCGCAGTTTCCGTCCGGGGCGCAGAGGCCATGGCACCGGGTCCCCCAGGTGAGGAGTCACTGGGGGCAGCGAGACGCAGAACACCAATGGGACTGCGGCGCTGCCGGGATGGCCTCCGGTGCCCTGGGCGCGGGGCCGGCTCAGCTCGCCGCCCGTCCCCACGGGAAACCCCAGCAAGACTCACAGGCCCACACTGGCTTTTGGAAAAGTGATCTGGCCAGACCCCCGCCTGGGCACGCTGGCACCCCTTCACCCAGGCAGGCCTCGTAGGGACCTCCGGGCAGGGAGCACCCGGTGCTCAGGGCGGCCACCGCGGCCCAGGGGAAAGGCCTGGAAACGCTGAGCCGCCGAGAGGGGAGGTGTACGGGGCCCGGGGCCTGCTCCCCGGAGCGATCGCCCTCACCAGTGCTGGCGGCAGCACCCCTGAGCAAACAAGCGGCGGGGTCCTTCAGCGCATCGGCTTTCCTAAAAGCCCTCGTCCCACTGCACGTCGTGCACGTTTGTAGGCAAAGAGGGAAGGTGCGCAAGGTCTCGGCCGGTTCGGACCGTCGCCGCCAGGGAGCTTGGAGGGGGCCGGGTAAGCCTTCCGGGCCCGTCTCAAGGGTGGCCGAGCCCTGCCTACGTCATTGTCGTGAACTCCGGGACGTGAGCGCTCTCGTCACACCGGCCCCTGCACGCAGTGTCACTGTGGTGGCGGAGGGGACCCTGACCGGGCGTGCGGCTGCCCCTGCGAGTTGGTGTTAAACCTGGTCATCGGGGCTGTTCCCGGGCACAGGGCCGAGCCTGCCTGCACGACGCCTGGTCTGCAGAAACGGCACAGACTGGGCAATACCCGGGGGGTGGAGGGGACTGTGCTCCAGGGAACTTGGCCCCCTCGGACCAGCCTGCTGGGCTCCTGACCCCAACCCAAACTTTACCCTGATGGTGGGGGTGCAGTGGGAGGAGACTGGCCCTGCTGGGAGGCAGGAAGGAGAGGGCGTGGGTGTGTACTGCTCCCCACCAACCCCACCATCCTTGAGGGCTCTGGGTAATTCTCTGTGATTCCAGATGTTCAGCAGCTGTCTTGGCCATTTCCGCCCCTTCTTTGACCCTGCATCCGCCAGGAAGCGTCCCCTCCTGTCCTCAGGCTCTGAGCCACCCCCCACCTTCCCTGCACCCCATTTCCTGAGCAGAGGCGTTTGTGCAGACTCAGCTCCCTATCCCGCCAGGGTGGCTTCAGTTTTCCCAAGGCCCGGGCTCTGCTCCCAGAGCCCCGGGCTGCTGTGGTCAGCTCACGGCTGCCGCCTGGCTGGACACCCTCTGCCAGGGGCTCCGATCCCAGCCCCCACCCCTCCAGCCTCTGGGACTGGCGTTTTCTCTCTCCCTCCACTCTTGCTCCAAGGTTGGCTGGGTCTGCTCCTGCGGCATAAATCAGGGCCTCCAGGGAGGCCGAGCAGAACGGCCAGGAGGGAGCACTGCCTCAGTGGGGGAGGGTGGAAGCCCCGAGCAAGGGCCAGAGGTCACAGAGCCCAGCAGGCTCTGCGGGGGTGGGGTATATGCTCAGATGTCTGCCCGGCAGACCTGGGGCGAGGGGGGGGGGTTGCCTCCTCCAACTGAGACCTGATAATTGAGATTACGGCCCCACCTTCCCTGGGCAGATGGGAGGGGGAGCACAAGAGGTCGTTGCTGCTGCAGCTGGTCCAGTCTGGGGGGCTCTGCTCTTCTGGAGAGGGGACGGCAGGAGGAGGTCTCCCTTCCTGTCACATGCTTTCCTGTCTCAACAGGGCTGGTGGTTGGGGGCACTTGGGCTCCCATGGGCTGGGGGGCAGGGCTGGTGGGGTCAGGGGCCGGGCCAGACACAGGCTACGGGCGCTTCCAGCCTGCTGATCTCTGCTCCTTGGAAGCTGGCCTCTGCTTCCCCTCCACCAAAGCCACCTTTTCCTCCAGGCCTCCTGCTCTTCTAGGGCGAGCCAAGGGCAAAGGGACCTGAGTGACGGAAAGTCTATTTCCAAAGACAAGTCTCAGAGCTCAGCAAGCCGAGAGACTGTCCCCAGGAGGACGGGCTCCTCCAAGCCCCACAAGACGTGGCGTTCTAACATACTTTGAGGACAGTCTTCCAGGAGACCCCTGTGTTGGTTTGGATTCAGGCTGAGGACCCAACGAGGCCTTCTACTCTGCTGTTGGAGGTCACGCCTCCGGTCTCACAAAGTGAGCCGGGAGCTTCTGGGTCTGGCACCCCCACCCCCAGCTTCTGAGTTTATGAAAGGGGTTCCCAGGAGAGTAAGTGTCCCCACTGTCGCCCACGTTTTCCACTCCCACTACTAACCCAGGACCAGGGGGGCACATTTCGGGAGGACCAGGACCACCAATCCCCGTGGGCAGCAGTTATGCCCACCCCTTGACCTCAGGCAAGGCACCCTGTGAGCTCTCCTGGGGTAGTCTCCCCACGGCCCCTGCTGCCACTCAGACCCAAGGAAAAGGTGAGGTGGTTGCAGGGAAGAGGGAGCAAGAGGGGACCCTTGTCCAGGTGCACCAGTGGACCCCGAGTCACCCCACTGGTCCTCAGGACCTGACCACAGAGCACAGCAGCCCAACCTGGGATATGAGCTGGATAATCAGGAAAATCTGGATCTCAGTTGGCTGGGGGAGGGATGCGGCGGGGGGGGGGGGGGCGGAAGGTGCCAGGTTGAGCAACAAATAATAAACCTAAAAACAGGATATCCAGTTAGAGCTGAATTTCTGACAAATAATTTTTATAAAAGTATGACCCATGCAAGTAGGACACACTTCTACTCAAAAGTATTTATGTCCATCTGAAATTCAAACTTACGTGGGCATTCTGTGTTTTAGCTGGAGACCCCAGTGGAGGGATATCCAGCCTCCCAATTCACTCTGTCAACCCCACCTGCTTGCCAGCCCCTAAGGACCCCAGCAGCCTGCAGCTCTGCTGCACAAGCCTGGTGGGAACTGGGCTGCAGGGGACGCAGCTACATGGAACAGGGGCGCAGAGCGGGCTTGCGGGGGCCTGGAACCCCCTGCCCAGAACACTCTGGGTCTGTGAGGCGGGTCCGGCTGCCCGACTCCAAGGCTCTGCCTCGGTTTGCCCAATTCCCTGTTTCTGGTCCAGGCGACTATAGAACGAGCCCTCAGAGCCTGGCTTGGCCCCTGCCCCCTCTGCCCTCGGGTGGGCCGGCCCTCTCGAGCGCAGGAGAAAAAGAGGAACCCACCGAAGCCCTCCAGAAAAGAGGAAGGTACAGCTTGCGGGCTGGTTTGAGTGAGGAGTGGGGAGGAGGGCTTGGCCAGGGGCTGAAAATGAGGAACACCCGCCAGGCAGGACCTACCTGGAGGTCACTGCCTCTGCTGGCACCCGCGGAAAGAGGATGCAGAACAGGTGGGGGGTTTCCAGCCCAAGCTCACCCCCTTTCCTGGAAAGGAAGGTGTGGGGTGGGGGTGGGGGGACAGGGACAGGACCTTGGACACGCACTGCCTCACTGCTCTGCGGCACCCCCTGCAGAGTGGCCAGACTGAGTTTCTGAAACTGAGTGGCCAGACTCAGTTTCTCCCCTAGGGTGATGAGGTGCATGGGATTCCTGGGCCGAGAACTGCTGCCAGCGGCCTTCCTCGGGGCCTCCAGTGCCTGAGCTCGCAGCCTGAGCACCCCTGTTTCCCCGGTGGGAGCACCTGGGCAGGCGGGGAGCCATGGTGGCCCACAGCGGGCGTCGGCCGGGGCCAGGGAGGCCCTGCGTGTTGCTGCCGAGGCCGGGCTCCTGGCCAGGAAGAGGCCGAGGCTGTAGGTTTCCGGGCCGCCGTCCGCCCTCCGGGGGTGGGGGTGGGGCTGCTCCAGGTGTGATGGGCGCCCCACGGGAGCCGCAGGCACGGGAGGGTGGGCGAGGGTGGGCGGCTGCGCGCGGGGGCGGGGCCGAGGCCTTTGTCGCCGTCACAGGGGCCGCCTCGCTCCCAGCAACAGTGACTCACATGGGGGCACGTGCGCCGCCGCGGACCCCCAGGCCCGGGTCACAAAGGCCGCAGGGCCGGGGCCTGAAGAGGCGCGTCCCCAGCCGGCCGAGCGCGGCGCTCGCCCCCGGCCCCGGCCCCGCAGCCCCCGCGGCCTCCCGCAGCCCCCGCGGCCTCCCGCAGCCCCCGCGGCCTCCCGCAGCCCCCGCGGCCTCCCGCAGCCCCGCGGCCTCCCGCAGCCTCGCGGCCTCCCGCAGCCCCCGCCGCGCGCACGGCTCCCGCGGAGCGCCGGCGCCTGGACGCCCATGTGCGTCGTGTGCTTCGTGAAGGCGCTGGTGCACGTGTTCAAGCTGTACCTGGCCGCCAGCTGCAGCTACGGCCTCTGCGGCCCGCCCGTGGACTTGCGCTGGGACGCGGTGCGCGCGGGCGGGGGCGCGGGCGCGGGCGCGGGCGCGGGCGGGGGGCGGCGGGCGCTGACGTGCGCGGCGGCCGCGGCGGGCGTGTGGCTGGTGCGCGGCGCGGCGCGGGGCGGGGAGGCGGCGGGGCGGCCGCGGGGCGGGGCGCGGGGCCCGGCGCTGTGCCTCCTGCTGCAGCTGCGCGAGCTCCCGGGGCAGCTGGCCAGCTACGCGCTGGCGCACTCGCTGGGCCGCTGGCTCGTGTACCCGGGCTCCGTGTCCCTGATGGCGCGCGCGCTGCTGCCGCTGCTGCAGCGGGGCCAGGAGCGCCTGGTGGAGCGCTACGGCGGCCTGCGCGCCAAGCTGGCGGCCCGCGACGGCGACGAGATCGACGCGGTGTTCATGGACCGGCGGCCGCACCCGGGCCGCGGCGGCCGCGGCCTGCGCCTCGTCATCTGCTGCGAGGGCAACGCCGGCTTCTATGAGATGGGCTGCCTGTGGGCGCCGCTGGAGGCCGGCTACTCGGTGCTGGGCTGGCACCACGCGCGCCGCGGCGGCGGCTCGGGCGCGCCGTCCCCCGGGCAGGACGCCAACGCGGTGGACGTGGTGGTCAGGTTCGCGCTGCAGCGCCTGCGCTTCCCGGCCGCGCACGTGGTGCTCTACGGCTGGTCCGTGGGCGCCTTCGCCGCCGCCGGGGCCGCCGTGACCCACCCGGAGCTGGGCGCGCTCGTGCTCGACGCCAGCTTCGACGACCTGGTGCCGCTGGCGCGCAAGGTCATGCCGCACAGCTGGAAGGGGCTCGTGGTGCGCACCGTGCGCGAGCACTTCCACCTCGACGTGGCCGCGCCGCTGTGCCGCTACCCGGGCCCGGTGCTGCTGCTGCGGCGCTCGCGGGACGACGCGGCGGGCACCCCGGGGCCCCCGCGCCCCCTGCCGGCCGGCGGCGTGGAGGGCAACCGCGGCGACCAGCTGCTCCTGCGGCTGCTGCGCCACCGCTACCCGGCGCTGATGGCGCGCGAGGGCCTGGCCGCCGTGACGCGCTGGCTGCGGGCCGGGAGCCCCGCGCGGGAGGCCGCCCTGGACGCGCGCGCGCGCGCGGACGACGAGCGGTGCCTGGCGCTGCTGCGCTCCTACCGCGCGCGCCGCGAGGCCGAGCAGCCGGACGCCGGGGCCTGCGGGCCGCACGGGCCGCCCTTCCCGTGGCGGCTGGGCCGGGGCCTGAGCGCGCGCCGCCGCCGCCAGCTCGCGCTCTTCCTGGCGCGCAGACACCTCAGGACGGTGGACGCCACGCACTGCAGTCCGCTGGAGCCGGAGGACTTCCAGCTGCCCTGGAGGCTGTAGTCCGCGGCCCGCGGCGGCCGCCAGCGCCCCGCGCCCGCTCCCCCCTCCCCACGCCCACACCAGTAAAGCCGGCCCTGCCTGGGGATCCCGACCTGCTGAATGGGGAGGGCGCCGCGCACCCCCTCGCCCCTGGTCCCCCCCCCCCCCCCCCCCGCCGAACGCCGCGGACCTCCGTGCGCTCCCAGCTCCCGGGAGGAGCCAGAGCCTAGCCCGGCCCAGCGGTGGTGCCTCGATCCCCCCGCGGGATGGAAGGCGGGAAGGCGGGAAGGCGGGCGGGGGGCTCCCCGAGGTGCCCCGACCTGGCCTAGGACACAGGACGGTCCTGGGAGGGGTCCGTGCCCGTCACCCCTCGCTGAGAGAGGACGGTGGTCCCGGAGCCCCCGCGGCAGGTGCAGCAGGAGAGCGACGTGGGCGCCCGGGCCCCCTCCCCACCTCCGCGTTCCTGGTGCTCAGGCAGGCCGCGTGGGGCGCAGGCACACCTGCGCTGGCCACCCCAGGGCTGGGCCGGACCAGGCGGGGCGGGGCTCCCGGCCCAAGGGTGCAGCGCTGAACCAGACGCCCCTGGGCCCAGCCGCGCTGACCGGCGGAACACGGCAGGAGGTGGGGGCCCCTGGCTGTCCCCGCCCCAGGACTGCGGCCAGCCAGGTCGGCTGAGCGGGAGCCAGACAAACCAAGGTGGCGAATGGGGCAGACGTTTACTGCACAGGCCACGGTGACACGTGGCTGTGATGCTCCCGGGGGGGGGGGGCCGCTGGGGGGGGAATGCCTGTGGCCAGGTGAGGCAGGTGCTGAGGTGGTGGGGGAGGACACACCTGCAGCCAGGTGAGGCAGGTGGGGGGCTCACCTGCACCCAGGTGAGGCAGGTACTGGGGGGGGACACCTGTGTCCAGGTGAGGCAGGTGGACGGGGGTCACCTGCACTCAGGTGAGGTGGACTCTGGGGGGTGACACCTGTGTCTAGGTGAGGCAGGGGGGCACTGCACCCAGGTGAGGTGGGCACTGGGGGGGTGACACCTGTGTCCAGGTGAGGCAGGTGCTGGGGGGGTGGGAAGGACACCTGCAGCCAGGTGAGGCAGGAGTAGGGATGACTGTGGCCAGGTGAAGCAGGTGCTGGGGGGGGACACCTGTGTCCAGGTGAGGCAGGTGGGCGGGTCACCTGCACCCAGGTGAGGGCTGAGGCAGGCACTGGGGGGCGACACCTGTGTCCAGGTGAGGCAGGTGGGGGTGTCACCTGCACCCGGGTGAGGTGGGCACTGGGGGGGGCAACACCTGTGGCCAGGTAAAGCAGGTGCCCCGGGGGATGCCTGTGTCCAGGTGAGGCAGGTGGGGGGCACCTGCACCCAGGTGAGGGCTGAGGCAGGCACTGGGGGGGCGACACCTGTGTCCAGGTGAGGCAGGTGCCCCGGGGGATGCCTGTGTCCAGGTGAGGCAGGTGGGGGGCACCTGCACCCAGGTGAGGTGGGCACTGGGGGGGTGATGCCCGTGTCCAAGTGAGGCAGGTGGGGGTGTCACCTGCACCCAGGTGAGGCGGGCACTGGGGGGGGGGCGACGCCTGTTTCCAGGTGAAGCAGGTGCCCCAGGGGGATGCCTGTGTCCAGGTGAGGCAGGTGGGGGTGTCACCTGCACCCAGGTGAGGCGGGCACTGGGGGGGGGGCGACGCCTGTTTCCAGGTGAAGCAGGTGCCCCAGGGGGATGCCTGTGTCCAGGTGAGGCAGGTGGGGGTGTCACCTGCACCCAGGTGAGGCGGGCACTGGGGGGGGGGGCGACGCCTGTTTCCAGGTGAAGCAGGTGCCCCAGGGGGATGCCTGTGTCCAGGTGAGGCAGGTGGGGGTGTCACCTGCACCCAGGTGAGGCGGGCACTGGGGGGGGGGGCGACGCCTGTTTCCAGGTGAAGCAGGTGCCCCAGGGGGACGCCTGTGGCCAGGTGAGCCTTGAGCGATACACGAAGGGGCTCCGGGCGGCGCGGTCCGAAGGCTCAGGTCCGGAGGGGTTCAGCACCACGTAAGGGTTTGCTCGCAGTGGCGACTCCGAGCCAAAGCGGGGAGGCCTGGGGCCTTGTTTCAGCACCACCGGGTGGTCCAGGGCTGGCTCCGGCGAGAGTCCGGCGTTTGCTGGTGACCCCGGGGCCATCCCTCCGGCCTCGCTCCCCGCCCCCCCGCCCCGGCTCCCGGGCTGCCGGAGAAGGACGCGCAGGGGCCCTGGGGGATCGCGGTACCGGCGCTCGGGGCCTGTCGGTAGGTCGGGGCGGAGGGGGCGGGGGGGGGGAGAGCCCGGCCGGCGGCGCATGCGCAGACCGGCGCCCGCGGCCGGGGGGTGGGGACGGGAGGGCAGCGGCGCGGACACGCCTTTTCCCACGTAACGCGGAGCAATCCCCGCAACAACTGAGGGGAGGAACCACCCCCAGAGTCAGGCGGGCGGGCCTCACGGGGCCTCAAGCGGGCTGTGCGCGGCGTTAGCCTCGGCGCTGCCTGGAAGAGGCCAGCCCCAGGCTGCCCGGCGCCATGTCGGACAGTCCTCCCACTGCCCCCTCCCGGAGGCCCCGAGGCCCCGCGGCCAGTTCCACCTGCGCCGCGCCGGGGGGGCCGACGGAGGCATCCCTTAGGACCGGCCGCCCCTTCCGGCTTCGGCCGCAGCCTCGGCCAATCAGGTTGGGGCAGGTAATAGGGACGGGGCCGAGCCACGCCCTCATTGGACACAGCCGGCGGGGGCGGGGCAGGCGGCAGGCGGAAGTGGGCCGTCGCGTCGCTGATTACGTCACGCCGCCGTGGCTGAGGCGGTTCCGCTGGCTGGCGTGTACGCGGCTGGCGAGCCCCGGTGCGGCCCGGCGCCCGAGACCCCGGCCCCGACCCCCCTGCGGCCCGGCCGCCGCGCGAACATGGACTCCGCAGGCCAAGGTACCCGCGGCCGGCGCCTCGGCGCGTCCCCGGCGGCGCGTCTCGGACCCTCGGGCCCTCCGCCTCCGTCCGCCGCGCGGCTCGCTTGCAGCTGCGAGCCTCAAAGCTTCCGACGGTCGTGGCTCGGCGTCCGGGCCGCTCGGGCGGGTCCCCGGCGCCCCTGCCTCCGCCCGGGCCGCTGGCGGCGTGCCCGGCCGGCCTCCGCCCCCTCGGGTGGCAACGCGGCTCGGAGCCCGGGCTCCCTGGGGGCGGGCGGCCGAGCGGAGCTGACGGCGCTGACGGCGCGTTCCTGCGCGGCCGCCCCGGGCACCTGCGGGGCTCCCGGGCTCTGAGACGGTCCGCGGCTCTTCCTGCCCTAGCTCGGGTGCGGGAGGCTCGGCGTTGGGCCTGCTGCGGAGCTGGGCGGGACGAGAGGAGCTGCTTGGCGCCTGCTGCGTGCCGGGTGCGCTGCAGACCCGCCTCGCACGTGGCCTCGCTCGGTTCTCGGGGTGACCCCTTGAGACTTGCTGTGTTGGCCCCATGCAGGTGATGGATGGCACAGCCCTGGGCAGCGGGGACTCCCCGGACCGACGCGCCGCGCCTTGGCCTGCTTGCTTAGTGCCCAGCCTCTCCCTGGGGTGAGGCCTGTGGGCTCAACGTGTCCGCGGGCGTTCGTTTATTGTTATTTTTTAAACAGAAGAGAAAGATAGTGGGTTTTTTTTTTTAATTTTTATTTATTTACGATAGTCACAGAGAGACAGAGAGAGAGAGAGAGAGAGGCGGAGACACAGGCAGAGGGAGAAGCAGGCTCCATGCACCGGGAGCCCGACGTGGGATTCGATCCCGGGTCTCCAGGATGGCGCCCTGGGCCAAAGGCAGGCGCTAAACCGCTGCACCGCCCAGGGATCCCGATAGTGGGTTTTTTTTTTTTTATTTTTATTTTTTTGATATTTATTTATTTATGATAGTCACACAGAGAGGGAGAGAGAGGCAGAGACACAGGCAGAGGGAGAAGCAGGCTCCATGCACTGGGAGCCCGATGTGGGACTCGATCTGGGTCTCCAGGATCGCGCCCTGGGCCAAAGGCAGGCACCAAACCGCTGCGCCACCCAAGGATCCCGATAGTGGGGGTTTTAAGGCATGTGGCGAATTTGAGTAGGTTCAACGTAGCAGATACAAACGCAGAAGCCAAATCAGGTAGGTTGAGCTCAGGACCTCTTGGCAAACTGGACCCGCTTTATGTCGTGAACAGGTATCGGTGGCCAGGAGGTGCTGACCTCAGCTGTCCCGGGGCGTGTGACGGGAATAAGCCAAATAGAGCGTCTTTGGTTTGTTTGTTTGTTTGTTTAATATTTTATTTATTCATGTGAGACACACAGAGAGAGACGGAGGCAGAGGGAGAAGCAGGCGCCACGCAGGGAGCCCGACGTGGGACTCGATCCCAGGACCCCAGGATGACGCCCTGGGCCAAAGGCGGCGCTAAACCGCTGCACCACCCAGGGATCCCAGCGTCTTCGGTTTTAAGTGCAGTCTATTTTTAGCACACTCTGGGATTTCCGCTAGAGAAACATAATCTGCGACTAAAGAACTTCTTTCCAACCTTTGTGACTTCACGTCTATTTTATTTGTTTCCTTCTTAAAAAGTTCACTTACTTATTTAACGTCTACAGCTCCCGTGGGGCTCGAGCTCCCGGCCCTGGGATCAAGAGCCAGCCAAGTGCCCCTGTGCCTTTACTGTTAAATGTGCTAGACACGGTGCCGATTGCCTGGTACTGAAGGACGGCCGTGGGTTCGGAGCTGGGAAGAATTGAAGCTGACGCATGTTTCCTCGGGTGGCATCTCACCAACTTTTAGTGCAGGCGGGAAGATGCTTTTAAATCAAAGAGGAGGTAGTGTAGGAATTGGAACCCGATCCGGTGCAGCAGAGGTGCGGAAGCAGTGTTGCCCCTGCGCCTCGCTGCGTGTTGCTGTGGAGCGAGGGTCGAGGACAGACTACAAGGCGTATTTTGTTTTGCTGACTCTCGGCTGGGGCTGGATGACGGGCATATGCTCCTGGTGTGTAATTTTAGTGTGTGCTCTGCGGATTGGTTGATTGGAAGTGGTGCTTGTTGTGTTTACAGCTGCATTAGGTTTCTCCGCTCTAAAACTTAGATCTGTTAGGTCTGACAGCTTTGTTTGTGGCAAAGGTTTCCTATCTCGGGAAAGTGCACTCGCATGGGGGAAGCGGTTAGGGGTCTGGCTGCCTTTCTTGTGCCCTGAAGTAGCACCTTGGGTGGTCTGAGGTGCCCTTGGCCTGATGCCAAACCATCCCTGCAGAGCTTGTCCGGGCAGAGGTGTTGGTTCTCTCCACGGTCCCCGCCCCCCAGCCTGTCCTCTCACCCTCTCCTTCTTCCTTGGTGGAGACCTCGACCTCGTCCACTTCTCTTTAACTTCGTATTGACACCATCTGGCCTTATGTCTCTGGCAGATATCAACCTGAATTCTCCTAACAAAGGTCTGCTGTCCGACTCCATGACCGATGTCCCTGTCGACACGGCGGTGGCTGCCCAGACTCCTGCTGCGGAGGGTCTGACCGAGGCTGAGGAGGAGGAGCTTAGGGCTGAGCTTGCAAAGGTGCTGTGTCTTGGCCATTTTTCCTGGGGTAACCATGAGCTAATGAGGGGGCAGAGAGCTGGCTGTGCTCTGCAGAAATTGCCCTGAGAGGGCATTCCTAGAGTCCCTCAGAAACTGCTCTTTGTGGCCACGTTGTCTGTGCTCAGCGCCTTGTAAGTACTCCATGAGGAGGACGTCTGCATGGGGACAGCTGCTCTGAGCACACCGTCTACTGGGAGATTCTTCGTTAGAATTAACACTTGATAGTTTGGAGACTCCACAAGCCATCTGCCCTGGATCTTCATTTTTTTTTTAAACATTTAATTTGTAAAAAGTGCTTTGTGTGAGCATTTTGTTTATTTATTTTTAAAGATGCAGAGAGGATCTCCTTTTTAAAAAAAAAAAAATTTTTTTTTATTTATTTATTCATGAGAGAGAGGCAGAGACACAAGCAGAGGGAGAAGCAGGCTCCCTATAGGGAGCCTGATGCAGGACTCAATCCCAGGACCCCGGGATCACACCCTGGGCCAAAGGCAGATGCTAAACCACTGAGCCACCCAGGTGCCCCTCATGTGATCATTTTAAAGTGAGTCTTTTCAGAGGAAGTGATAATTAAGACCCAAAATTTCTAAGTACGATTTTTACTTATAGCTTCTGCTGGAGATGTTTCTTTTTACTGTGTGATGCAGAATCTAGTGGTACTCACTTGGGATTCAAAATCTGGGGACATGGGGCAGCCCCGATGGCGCAGCGGATTAGTGCCGCCCGCCGCCCAGGGTGTGATCCTGGAGACCTGGGATCAAGTCCCACGTCAGGCTCCCTGCATGGAGCCTGCTTCTCCCTCTGCCTGTGTCTCTGCCTCTATCATTCATGAAAATAAGTAAATAGATAGATAGATAGATAGATAGATAGATAGACAGACGGACAAACAAACAGACCAACCAACCACGCAATCTTTTAAAAAAACAAATCCTGGGGACATGAATTTGTCAGTATCTGAGTGTAGCATCTGTCAGTCAGAGCTGGTGTGCTGCCTGTCACAGGCCTCTGCGCTGTCTTCAGAGATGAGCCCTGTGTTGATAAAAGGGCTAGGTGGGCGGATGAACCTCAGCCACGACCGGGTTTCAGACCAAGGGGGAAAAGGATTCAGCGGTTTCTGAGTTGAGTGAAGATTATGGGACCAGCAACAGGCAATGCAGTGAGGCTCTTGCTGTGCACTAGGTCATTTCAGAGTTGAGCTGCAGAGTGGAGAAGTTCTATGTCACTTAAAATTTTCAGCGTGAACTTCCCCTAACACAGCTGGATTGCACACTCTCAAACCCTATCCATCGTCACACCAGAGTGGAATGTTCTAATCACTGGTTGTTACTGCTGGAGTAATGTGTAATAGTTGGGCCTTAGATGATCCTATGTTTCTAAATTACATCTTGTTTCAACTGTTTTCTGATGGAAAACTAATGATATAAGGATTCTGAGCTACTTTTTATCACTTTATTCCAAACAACCACTTTTTTAAGAGAAGGACCCCCCCCCTTTTTTTTTTTTTTCAAATTTTTTTTTTAATTTTTATTTATTTATGATAGTCACAGAGAGACAGAGAGAGAGGCAGAGACACAGGCAGAGGGAGAAGCAGGCTCCATGCACCGGGAGCCCGACGTGGGATTCGACCCCGGGTCTCCAGGATCGCGCCCTGGGCCAAAGGCAGGCGCCAAACCGCTGCGCCACCCAGGGATCCCCCCCCCTTTTTTTAATGGCAGCTGTTGACACAGGAGCTGAAAACAGACATCTGGTGTTGTGAAACTCCAGAGAACGCTTCTTTCTCAAGTTGCATCCTTTTTTGTTGTTGTTGTTAATTTTACGGCCTCAGAAGATTCAGGTCTTTATTGTCAGGAGTCTTTCTCTTACCAGTTCAAACTGCCTTAACCACAGAAGGGAATTTACTTTTGGCCTGGGTAACTGCCGTTCCCAAGACCTGAGATGACCCCAGGAACACATGCGTTCCCGTAAGGGCTGTTGCTCTGTTATCTGGGTATCTGGCCGGCCATCTGTTTGTCAGCTCCCCTTCCCAGTGCAGATGGGTCCTGGCTGCCAGCAGTTCCAGCTTCTGAGCCCAGAAGGAGAGGGGCTTGACTCTTCAGACACCTGTGCCCCGTCCGGCGGGGGTGGGATGGAGCTGTGATAGGCCTGGCGTGGTGATGCATGGGTGGGCACAGTGATTGCAAGCCCCACCAGAGCCACTTGACTTGGGGGGATGAGACAGTCTTCCTGAAGAAGTTGGAGTGCCACTACCAGATAAAAACAGGGTGGTGGTTGGACACAGACTCCGTTCTTAACGCAGGTTATGTTTCTGTAAGCGGAAAGTCCTTAGAGCATTCCGAGAAACTTCTCATTGCAGTGTGTGTGAGGATGTTAGTCACTTCCCACAACACTGGTACTAATCAAGTCAACTGTGTGCTTTTACAGGTGGAAGAGGAAATTGTCACTCTGCGCCAGGTCCTGGCAGCTAAGGAGAGGCACTGTGCGGAGCTGAAAAGGAAGCTGGGCCTCTCTGCCTTGGAAGGCCTGAAGCAGAACCTGTCCAGGAGCTGGCATGACGTGCAGGTCTCGAACGCGTAGGTACCTGCCCTGGGGACTCAAGTATGCCTGTGTGCAAGCAGCCAGCCAGAGGTTCTGAGTCCTTGACCTAACCCCTGGTGTGCAAAGAGCTTAGAGTCTACACATGCTTTTAAAAGGCAGTTGGATGCGCTAGGTAGTTGTCGAAGCAGAAACTGACAAGAGTGTGTTCCAGTGTCCAAAGTTGAGAGGACACTGATGAGGCCCTTAACGAGACTGATTTTCTGTGATCCCATAGCTCAGTGTGTGCCGAAGTGGGCACAAGTCCTTCTCATGAGCACGTTGTGATCACAGCCCCAGGACCTCTGACCCAGATGTGACTCAGTTCTCTGAACTTGGGGAGTACAGCTGCATGGCTCTGAAACACATCCTCCGATGTTTGGAGGGTCGGTTTGGGGAAATGTTTCCCATTAAGAAGCCACGTCCCTGCCGAGAGGTTGAATCACATTTCACGAAAGTCACCTACAAAATCCTATTTCTCTGTCTTAGGAAGTCCTAGATTTTGAATCCGAAGGGTGACTGCCTTCCGTGCTCCTCACAGCAGTCCCGTTCCCCAAGCGCTGTCTTCCGTGGACTGTCCAGGCCCTCGCTTGGCATGATAGGAAGAGGACTGATTGGCTCTGCCACGGCCTCCCCTGGGCCTGCCCAGCAGGTGCTGAGAGGAGGGGTGGGTAGATCCTGTCCTCAGGCGGGCTGCACACCCAGCATTGCTCTCCAGCCCTCCTCTGTGCTCCCTGGCATTGCACCTGTAGTTTGAAACCTTAGTTAAAATAACTGTTCTACGTGATTTACCACAGACTTTCTGTTTTTAGCTATATGAGAACTTCTGAGAAACTTGGAGAGTGGAATGAGAAAGTGACCCAGTCAGACCTGTGAGTGCCTTTGCCGTCACACCTCCCTCCCCCTCCTCTTCCTCTCCACACTCCTAGGGACAGGGAGGCTGTGCGCACTTGGCACAAACCTGGTTTGGGTGTCTTTTGGCTATTTTCTTTTTAGTATTTTTCTGTTCTTAAACACAAATGGAAGTATAATTCTTGTGAAATGGGTGCCTCCCTCTGGTTGCCACGGATGCATCCCTTAGATGAGAGGCCTAGCTGGGTCTGGGAGCATCTCTGGCTGGTAGGCAGCCCTCAGCCTTCCGAGTGGGCAGACTGGCTGACCGCCATCGGGACTGATGCTGGTGTTCACTTGGGGGGTGGGGGGGTGTCTTTCTCCTGCAGACCTAGCTCCAGAGGAGGGGTTCTCACAGCTTCACTCAGACTTGGCGCTGGTTTTTGGGTGAGGGCTGCCGCACAGGCCATGCTGGTGGGATCTTGGAGGAGCCGCTTTGGTCTCCGGGGCACCAGGTGTCAGCCACACAGGATATTAGCAGAGTAGGAAACACGCAGATCGGTTTTCGTGTCAGAGCTGTAGTTCAGAGTGAGTCCTGATGTTTTATTTGAGATCCTTATGCATGGTAATAGCACTTCATTGATCTTTGCTCCAATCTGATTATAATTCCTTTGAACTGGGTGGGGTCACGTGTTAAGCTATTCACTTTCGGGGATTCTTTTCCCTTTTGTTGCGGAGGAAGTGCAGTGGGGGCTCCCAGAGAGCATGGCGGACAGTCCTTTGTGTTTGGAAGGACATGGTTGTTAATGAGCTGGTCTTTGTGTGCCTGGGACCAGGTCGGCTGGCTCTGTGCTCGCAGTCTTCACAGCCTGGTGGCACCAGGGGAGCTGGGCACCAGGGCGCTCTGGCGGGTCCTGCCGTTGGTGTGGTTTGGTGTGACCGCAGCCATGGCCACACCCTGGCGTGTTGTGTCTGCGGGGCTGTATCGGAGGATGCCTCCACCACCTGCAGACGTTCTTGAGGTTGAGACAGTGGCTGTCATCTGTGTAGTTTGGGCACCAAGCAGGCTCATGGTGCGCACTTATTAACCTGAAAAGAATCTCGGGAGACTTTGGTGCTGTTTGTAAAACCGGTTGACAACAGGTTGCTAGGATAGCGTCTCAAATAACTACAACTGTGACTCCTCTGAGAAGCCTGTGGCTCTGGGCATGGAAGTGGCTGGTGGGGTGGCCTTCCCAAGCACCTTGCCAGACGGCGGCCATTCCCCTGAGGCCTCACCCCAAATTCCGTTTGTGGAGCAGTTGCCAAAGTGACACTCCGGAGGGCTGGAGCGTTTCTGCAGGGCCGGCCCAGGAGGACGATGACCCAGCTCCTGGTGGGATGACTGGAAACATTGGCTGCCTTGCACTCCCTGGGGTGAAGGTGCCTGCCTGGTCATTGCTGCAGGAGGCCACTGGTGGGGTGCGACTGCCCTGAGCGTCAGCAAAAACGTCTGTGCCTGTAGCGCTGCTTTTCGTGAAGCCGTGCTGGGCATAGGCAGTGTCGATGCTACGCGTGCTTTCTCATCTCAGGGAACTAGTTCTTTATTCAGACTGCCGTGCACAAGAGGTGTGTTCTCTTCGTTGGGTCGCCTAACCGGCTTCTGTCTATTGGTAGACAGAGCTGAAGATGTGCAGGTGGCACCAGGTAAACTCCGTAGCCGTGGTTGGTGTGTTGGGTCCTTCGTTTGTATGTGACAGCGCAGACGTAGATGGTGTCGGCCTTGTCCGACTCCTCCCTGGTGCAGGAGGGTGCCCTGCAGTGCAGGTTTGAGTCATTGTATTGCCGCCCAGCAGCAAGGTGGCCGCTGTGGGTCTCGCTGGACTCTCAGTGTGGTCAGGGAGCCGGAGACGGCTCTGGCTGTCCAGACTGGGTTTGTGCCCACCCAGAGTTAGAGGTGGCATCGGCCCCAGGGGAGGGGCCAGGAGCAGGTGCATCCAGCTGATGCCCCATGCTGACTGTGATGGAGGGAGGCTGGTATCGGTCAGGGTCCTACACTTTTGTTTTCCTAAAAGATAGAAGTAATTTCAGAGGGGCTCTGGCCAGGGTGGCACGGCGCAGCCTTGAGCTTGTCTGGGCCTGAGTTCCCTGCGTGTAGACTCTGGCTCCGTCCCCCAGCCCTGTCGCTGCCTGAGCTTGGCCTCCGCGTCAGGGACCCTCCAGCGCATCCACCTTGGTTTGGAGGTTCCCGTCCCTGACGGGAGTCACTCGTCACTCCTCATTTCCACACCCCAGAGATCCTGAGGGTGGTGGGGTGTGGGAAATCTGCGTGGCTCTCCAGCGGGGGGTGGTGCCCTTCGGCGTGGCCCATGGCCAGGGTCTCCTGTCCGTTGTCTCGTGGCCGGCTCCAGTCTGAGTCAGCCTCGGGTTGCGCCTCCTCGTGGCCCGTGGTGCTCGGCACACGCTTGCCGGCTCTCCCACTGCAGTTCGCCTGTGGACACAGGTTCTGAAGACTTTGCCTTCAGTTCTCTGCTTCAGACCGTTTGCCTTCGACAAACAGCTTCTCCTGGTCTTACGTACCCGTTATTTCGCGAGAAATGGCTTGAAGACGTTTTCTGAGTGTTTTCAAAACGAAATGCGCATTTCATTTCATAAGTTACCTTGTAGTTGGTGTTTTATCAGCAATGGCCAAAGCTTCCAGTCTGTTTCTTGCAGATAACCTATTTTAGCTCACTTTGAAGAGCGCAGTTTGCCAGGCAAGGGTGAGGGGTGGAGCAGCCCAAAGCACTACCACAAGTCAGGGGCCCCAGAGAAGGTTCCAGAGCCTTTCCTTAGCCGGCTGTGTTGTAGAGGGTGTGCAGCACATTTCCCCTTCCCTTTATTGCCACGGTTCTGCTGACCCCGGGCGAGTGTGGTGCAGGTAGCAGCTCCTGGCCAGGACTCCGTCAGGTTGGAAGGCGGTGCCTCGGAGGATTACAGCTGGGTGTGTGGAAAGCGTCCCACGAGGAGTGTGTGCACTCCAGTGTCTAGTGAGGACCAGCTGCGGTCGGCCCCTCCGCCGGGCGGCCTGTCTAGGTCCCAGCCCCGGAGTTCTCGGGGCTGCTGCTGCACACGTGCTTCCATTTAGTTTCCACTCCCATTCAGTTCTGTGGTCCTTTCTGTCATGGGGGAAAGGATTTCTGGGAGTCAGATTTGGCTAAAGGTTGGATTCAGAATTAGACTTTAGTTACTGCCTTAGGAGATCCAGAGCAAATCTTACAGTAAAGATTTTAGGTTATTTTCTCTCCATAATTCATACGTTCCTGGCTGGATTCATAGGTCTTCCTGGAAAGTAAGGTAAACTTCCTGTTCTGGTGACTTCACCATGTTTTCAAACTCACCTGCTAGAAAGCACATGTTTTGAGTCCTAAGCCCTTCTGGGCACCAGAGAAGCCCAAGGCCCCACGTGCTGTGAGAGAGCCTGCCAAATAGAGGGAGGCCCCTCCAGGAGTGCGCAAGGCAGGGCTTCCCCAGGACAGGACGGTGGGGACAGACAGGGTGGCGCCTGGCGGGGGTGGGGCTCAGAGGCTGTCTGGAGTGGTCAGGAGGGCCGGGGAGGGGGAGCAGCAAGCACCCAGTGGGACCTCCTGCAGATGACACTGGGGAGCGGATGGGAGGGAGGGGCCCAGAAGCCCTGGTGCTGGTGCTGCTGGTGCCATCTGACCTTCCCCGCTCTAACCTGGTGACACCTACAAGGCATCAGAGAGTAGGCAGGCGCCTCGAGAGCCTTGCATCACAGGCTGTTTCCTTAGGTTGGCCAGAAACGAGCCCTCGAGTTCAGGCTGCTGGTCTTTTGTTTATGGTGGCAGCTGAACAGGGACTGGCCCTGCCAGGTGTTAGCTCCCAAGGTGGGCCCGACGGTGTCTTTGTGGTCCCTGTGGCCATCTCACAGACATTGCAGTCGCGGGTCCATGTCTGGGATGCACGCACGCCCAGGTGGATGGGGCAGGAGGGCATGGAAAGGGGGGTCTTTACTGATCCAAAGCCACCATTTGCACTGAGATGAAGGTCCCCCAGCTTAGAAAGGCGGTCATAAGACCGCAGAGGAGGATGGGGGCTGGAGGGGCTCCCGGGCCTGCCAGGGCTGCACACCCACACTGTCCAGCGCATCTCCCCACGGGCTTGGTGGAGTTTTGATAGGAGAGGCTCTCCAAATAAAGTAACAGAACGAGGGGTTTTTCTGGGTTCTGTCCCCAATCCAGAGCCCCTGTGGGTCTTTCTTCACCGCAGCAGGCAGAGGCTGCACGTCCCAGGTAGTCAGCGTTGTGAGCACTTGAGTGTTAGATGCGGTGGCGTGAGGTCAGGGGCGGTTGTTGCAGAGCTGGGAGGTTGTGGCCCGGCGCACGCTCACTAACGGCTCTCTCTTCCTTCTCTTGGGGTCTCTGGGCGCCTGGCCTCCTTGGCTTTGGGTGGCAGCTGCCCCTCCTATTGGGTTGGTTCAACTGGTGTTTCTTCTCAGCTACAAGAAGACTCAGGAAACCCTCTCTCAGGCGGGACAGAAGACTTCAGCTGCCCTGTCCACCGTGGGCTCTGCCATTAGCAGGAAGCTCGGGGATATGAGGTGAGATGCTCCGTCGGGTGAGGGTTCGGGGGGCCTAGAGCTGCTGGAGGCTCTGCAGGGGCCCAGGCTCAGATGCATACCCCTCGGGGGCCCCTTGACACCCACAGATGCGGACACACAAGCCTGGACCAGTCAGTTCCCGGTCCCTGGTCTGTGGGCTGCCTCTTTGCCATTCTGTGTTTCTTGGGGGAGGGGGTCCTTGTTTCTTTTGAGTAACTTCTAAAGCTCGGGACCCGTAAAGGCGGCTGCTTCCCTTTGAAGTTCCACAGAGGGAAGACGGCCCCGTCTGGGGGTCGGTGTCGGGGTGGGGTGTCACTCTGGGCGCCGGTGGGGGTGGGGGTGGGGTGTGTTGTTTCCTCCAAGTGTTTGCCCTGCCCCGGTCTCCAAGGTCTCAGAACGTTTGGCTGCAGGCCAGGGGCCCCTCCTGAATGGTCTCTCCCAGAGCTGCTGAGACCTTCCTGGCCCCCACAGGTGCCTCGAGCAGGCCTGGGTCCAGGGAGAGTGGAGCAGATGGCCACTTGGCTGGGCCGCAGCCTCACGGCTCCGGCTTGCCCAGCCGTTTCTGCTCTGGGCTCCGGCCGTACATGCTGGCCCTCCTCTGCTACCCAGCAGGGAGCCAGGGGCATGGCTGCCTCCCTGCTGTGCCCTTGACAGGCCGTCCTCCAGGACTGTGGGGTCCCAGCGTGCACCATGGAGCGGCAGTGTGCATGTACTTTGTGACCGTTGCCAGCGTCCTGGCCCCCGACGCACACTCGGGACCAGCCCCCTCACTTAGGGATTCCGGGGAATGCCTCCGCTCCCCCACCCCATGCTGAGGCTTCTGTCTTCTCAGTTGAGAGTCACACTGGTGATGCCTGTGGGCGTGGTGTGCAGCGTTGGGGCCGTCCCGCCCTGGAGCCCCTCCTCCCCTCGGGGGCTGCCTCCCCGCCTGCTTAGGTTGGGCACTTCCGCACCTCACAGGCCTGGCACTTGCCTTGTGGGGCCGTAAGGTGGGAGCTCTGCCCTGGTCCCAGAGCCACAGGTGAAGCCACAGACACTTGGACCCCATGGCCGATGCCCACAGCCTTTTTTATTAGTTTCTTGTAATTAGCCCCCCTCCGATTTTTATTTTGAAAAATTTCAAATTTTCGGAGAGGCTGAACGGTCAGTATGCAGTCTGTGTGCCTCAGGAGTGCGCGCTCCTACAGCTGGGGATCCGGTCGTGCTCCCAGCACCTGTGCCTGGGGGTCCTTTGGGGTCAGCCTGTGAACGTAGGCCTGGAGCACAGTGGCTGTGAGGTATTTGGCCCTACAAGCTGTGGCGCGGAGTTGACAGCAAAGCGGGTGTGTGGTGGTTCCTCCCATAGGCGTCAGGGTAATGTGCTAATGCTGACTTTGTGGGTGTGTTCCTGTAACAAATCTCATTTGAAATTAGATGGGACGCCATCGCTGCTGCGCTCTGGGACACCTGCTTGGCCACGTGAGCCGTGCTGTGGTAAGCCTGGTGACAGACTGATCACACGCCACTGGTGGCCTGGCCTTGGTCCCAGGGAGTGCCACGGAGGGCAAGGCGGGCCGTCCCAGCGCCACCGGAGCGAGCCGTGTGTCAGGTTGTGCTTGTGCTCTCAAAAGAGAGCATTTGAAGGAGGCAGGGAACGTCTGCAGTGCCTACGTTCCGTGCTCACTAGGAGTGTCCTCTGTCACTCTGGGCAGTACTTGCTCATCTTAGTGTCCTTACGGTCAAGTGTGTGCAGTGTTGGCTCTGAGGTGCATGGCTGCGGTCGAGCTGTCGCAGGCCATCTTGATGGGGCTGCCCTTGGACGACGGCACATTTCTCCGTCTGTGCCTGCGTTCCCGCCCTTGGCTCCGGGAACAGGCATTTGCTGCTGAGCCATGGCATGTAGCCTCCGGTCCCGTGCCTGGCCTCCCTGTGCCTGCCACGGGTCGCGTTAGCACCTGTGCTGCATGTGCGTGGACCGGCCTGCGGGAGGAACCGGGTCCTAGGAGGAACCTTGGTGCCCAGGGGCACTGTCCCGTTTACCGGTGGGCCTCACCCTGGTGCTCTTTGGTTTTATCCTGCTGTGTTTGCAGGAGTACGGGGAACTCTGACCTTTCCAAGTACTTGATGTGCCCACCATTGCCTCACACATGGTCTCAGGTGGTTTCTGAGGCCGAGGCCTCTTAACCTTGTCAGTTTGCAGCCGAGGTTCAGGACTCCCCACTTCTTGAGAATGAAAACGAGGCCTAGGGAAGTTTATATATATTGAGATGTTTGCCCCAAATCGGTGTCCTCAGTGGGCTTGTCCAGGAGCAGCCCTGGCCTGAGAGCCTTTTTGCATGCTCTGGGCCCGAGGTGGCAGTCTGGGAGAGAAGACTGGATTTGGGTTCCAGCAGGGAAGGGTCTCTGGTTAGCTTGGTGACCTGTGACAAGGCACCTGCCTTCCCTAATCCTCAGACTCCTCCTCCACCTGGAGATGGCAGGGCCTGCTGCCCATCCACGCGGGTCACTCCTGAGATGACCTCCACCTTGGGGGTAAGAGGTGGCGGGCCTGGCTGCGTCGTGGAGGACGTGGTGCTGCCCTTGGACACTTGCATTTCTAGCTTGGAATCTGTCGTCCATAGTGATGCAGCCGGAGTGCAAGGCCCTCGGCTCCGGGGGCGTCCCCGGTCCTGTGGCAGGATATGTGTGTGTGCTCTGGTCCAGCCCGGGCCCTGTGGAGATGCAAGCCAACCTGTTGCCGCCTGGCGTGTCGGCTGAGCCTGGCTGGTCTGGGCTCGCAGGTGTGGGGAAGGCACACAGACCCGGGGCTGGAGCCTGCCTCAGCACACCGCGCACCTCTGCACCGCTCCTCTCTCTGTGGCTTCTTCCCTCTAACTCCAAACAGGGTCATGGACACGCGGGCACCTCGTCTGTGACCCAGGTGGGGTTGTGTGCGTGCGGGAGCCGCGGCCTCTCGCGGAGTTGGGGCTTGGGGAGAGTGGAGGCAGGGTGCATGGCCTGCTCTCCCTAGTGGTGTGAGGACTGGGGGTGGTCATGGGGGTCCCTGCGTGGCCTTCTGGAGCTTGAGTGAGGGTCTGGGTGGGCCCTGGCCTCGCTCTCCTAACGCTGTGTTTCTTCTCCTCCTGCTGCCACCTCTCAGGGCTCGTCCGTTCTCCCACTCGTTTAGGTAAGACTGCGGCTGGACGTGCCTGCAAGGCTCTTCCGAGGCAGGGCAGGGTGGTCTGTGGCCGGCCTGCAGGAGGCCGGGCTGGAAGACGTGCTGAGGGGCACCATGGCCCCTTGCTGGCCGCTGTGACCGCGTGGCTCCTCGCCGGCCTGCAGCCCGGCCTCGGGGAGCTTGCTCTGGAGCTCATGCCCCACGTATCCCCGGGAAGAGAGCTGGTCGTGTGGGCGGGTCATGCTGACTCTCACTGTTGTGTCCCGTGCATCTTCCTCCAAAACGCTGGCTGCTGTTTTCTCCTCCCCCGAGAGGCAGGCTTGTCCCCGCAAGCCGAGATTGTCCCGTTGGTCCCGTGAGGCAGCGAGCAGCACTGGGCTGCAGTCGGGCCTCCCGAGGTCCCCACTCTGTGCTGATTCAGTGGCGCTTTCCTAGCCTGACGCCAGTGCTGCCGCCCCGTCACACACCCTTCCGGCCTGGAGGCCTGGAGCCCAAATCCAGAACAATGTGTGATTGTAAATATTTTTACTTACTTGACCTGGTTCTTTCTCTTTTGCCAAAAAGTCACTTCCCTTGCTGTGAAGTCATGTGAGGACACCTGACAGTCCCTTGTACCAGAAGTCTTTTGAAGCCCCAGGCCTACGTGTTAAAGCTCTCCCCCGCAGGGTGCCGTTTCTGGGTCAGCTTTGGGGGCTGGGGAGAGGACCCTGGGGTCGGGGGCCTTCTGTCGTGCGGTGGCCAGAGCTCGCCTGCCCTGCAGAGTCGGGTTCTGGTGGACGAGCCGATGGCGCGGTGAATGCCAGTCTGTCCCTGTGCTAACTCCTGCTTCCCTCTCTGCCTCTACCATGCTTGCGAGCAGCAGCTCTTCAATCCGCCACTCGATAAGTATGCCGGCCATGAGGTAACGTGCACTCGTGCTCTGGATCTCTCAGAGCCGGGGTGGGAGCCGGGTGGGAGCGGGTGGCTCCTGCCGGTCAGCCTCACACATCCCGCGTCCCTGAGCCAAAGACCATCTTCCCCTGGCAGCCTCCTGTGGGCCAAGGGTTGGAAAGACCCCATCGAGGCTAACGAGCTAGTGGGGAAGAGGCTCCGAGGAATGCATTGTGCCAAACAGGCTCCATCTGGAAGCTTCCAGAGCTGCCCGTGGGGCTGGCCAGGGAGGGGCAGAGAGAGCCATGCACACACCTGGCACCCAGGAGGCCTGAGGTGCCTCCAAGCCTACTATGGAAACTTTGATCCGCACCGGAGGGGAGTCCTGGTCTCAGATCACCCAGAGGTGTGGCCTGTTCTGGAAACCTTCCCTGTGGTGCAGCAGCAGAGCCCCCGTCCTCGTTACAGGAGAATCTGCTGTGGCTACCGCCCCCCACAGCCTGTGTGCAGGTCCTCGACAGGCTGCTACCAGAGGCCTGAGGGCTGGGGCGGGGGGGTGGGGCGGTGGGGAAGGGTGCCGGCTGGGGCCGGGCCTGGCCTGCTTCCTCCTGCTTGCTCCCTTGTCCCAGAACTGTCCTTGGTTTTCCTTTGCTTGACTTGTGTCAGAGATTGGTGTCAGGAGCACCCGGGACGTTCCGTGACCTCAGCATGTGTGTACCTCGGGTGCAGTGACGTGTGCCCCACACTCACCCGCTGGTGACGTGCAGGTCTCCTGTGCTTGCAGTTGGCAGGTGTGGCCGACCTGCTCTGACCCGGAAGCCGCCAGGATGACCTGGCCTGGGCCGTCTTCAGACCTTGCTGTGCCCCCCTCCTGTGGGGCCTGTCAGCGTTTACAGTGAGGTCTCAGGATGCTGTCAGGGATCTTTCTGGAGCTTGACCCTAAAGCCGAGATTTATGAGGGCAGCACAAGCGCTTGCTCGCTGCACTGATCTCTCCTCCTTCTCTCTTTAAAGGAATTCTGCGACCTTCAAGTCCTTTGAAGACCGAGTTGGGACCATAAAGGTAACTGTATCTGGACCATTCACTTGTCTTGTTGGGGTGTGACCTGTCCTTTACGTAAACTTGCTTAGTCACCGTAGTTCCCGTGCAGCAACAGGAACTAACGCAGGGGGGTCCTTGTACCTTTTACACAGTTTCCCCAGTGATCCCGTTTTGCACCACAAGCAGGATAGGACAGTGGTACAGCCAAGGTGGACAGTCTCATCCCCACAGCCGTCCTTCCTGGTGCTCGCCTTCCTCCGGCTGCCCCAGAGCCACTAATCTGTTCTCCATTTCGATGACTTACCATTTCACGAGTGTCATGGGATTGGGACCATATAGCGTGGAGCCTTTGAAGATTTGCTCTCTTTACACTGCATAAGTCCCTGGAAATACTGCCAGCCTGTTGCCCGTGTCGGGGATTTGCTCCTTGATATTGCTGATCGGTGTCCATCCATGTGGCGTAGACTCCAGGGAGCTGAGCAGCTGGGATTCCCAGCGCCGCCTAGCGCCTGCTGGGCATGGTGTGCTCTGTCTCAGGGTTTGGTTTTGTTTTGTTTTGTTTCTTGGTTTTTTTCCCATCTGTAGTCTAAGGTTGTAGGTGGCAGAGAGAATGGCAGTGACAACCTTCCCTCCCCGACCGGGAGTGGCGACAAGCCCCTGCCCGACCACACGCCTTTCTAAGCCCACCGCAGCTTTGCCTGGCCACGGAACAAGTGCAAGCACACCCTCATCGCCACTGCAGCCCTGCCCCGCAGCAGCAGCCCGCCAGGCCGCAGGCGGACGCACACAGCTGGTTTTGAGGACAGTCGTGCCGTTCACATGTAGACGTGGCTGCTGTGTTCGCATGAGTTAGAGAACACAGTCTTGTACGCAGATGCTTTACATTGAAGTTGGTAGATGCAGACCACTGTGCCGTCCTTCCTGGGGCGCAGGGAGTGGACGGGACCGTGGGCCCTTGGGAATCTTGCTCATTGGTGAGAACGTGGAAGGAGCGGGAGAGCGATAAGCATGAGATAAGTGGGATTTCCTCAGCCTCTCCTTTACTACGTTACAGAAGGAAGATCCATCCAGAAAGCCCTACCCGATCTTCAGTTTTTATTTCAAACACTAAATGAGAAACTGTCCCATTTTCTGAAACCCTCCAGAAAAGAAACTGGTTATCAGCAGCCGCCTAATTGTTACACTAATGATCTAGCTTTAACAAAGCAAATTCTTTATTTTTTAAATGCAGTGAATTTTTCAGAAATTAAAGCTAAGCAAAGCAGCTTTAGCCTCAGTTAGAAAACATTATTTCTTTGGACTCAAGCTGAAATACAACGCCTTACATCGCCTTATGCTTTATTTGTTTATAATGTTTTTATATATAAGAATAAGGGTTCTTTAGTGGGTTTTGAGCACTATGTAGACTTCTGCATCTAGCCCGGAGGGCAGCATGCTTGGACATTGGTGTGTTTTATTCGCTGATGCGCTTCACCCCAGTGTATGAAGCCTGCTTCTCTCTCCTCTCAAGGACTGGGGCAACTCCTGCTGGCCAGAGGGCTCCTGGGCCCCTGGGGGCGGGGGTGGGGCAGGAGGAAGAGCCGGCACCCCCCACAGGGAGAGGCTGGTGCCTTCCGTCCTCCGCTCCAGCCTGCCTCCAGCCTCGTTTTCCGTTTTCCGCATGCTGGGGACGGCCCTGCCTTGGGGTCTGCTGGAACTCTGCTGTCGCCTGTTCTCAGGAGCTACAAAGATCTCATTCTCGTTCTGAAGCTGCCACACCCCAGCAGCCTTGCATTCAGGGCCCCACTCGGGTGTGTCTGGAGGGGCAGCTCCGTGCCTTACTGGCTCCCAGCAGGCAGAGACCTGCGTGCGAGCTGTGCACCCCCTGGGGGAGGAGCCTCCGCAGAGTCCACTTCGGGGACGGTGGTGTGCTCTGGGTAACCCGAGCGTCTGCTGGTCAATTCAGGCACCTGGGGACTGCAGGCCAGGCTGGTGCCGTGGGAAGAACTGCACTCGGTGTGTTTTCTTCAGGGTTAGAATCACGGATGGGGTGTGGTGAGAGGGCGGGATGCAAGTGTAGTAGGTGGTGTAACTTTTCCTTAAAGTGAATAATGGGTAATTTGTCAATAAAGCATTCCTTTGTGGAAGAGCCCACGTGAGCTCGTGTGGTGCGTCTCCCTTTGTTCGTGAAGGTGAGGTGGCCTGTCGTCCCCCCCCCCCCCCGCGGAGCCCACCCCCAAGGCAGAGGGGGAGGCGGCAGGAAGCGGATAAAGCTCCTGGCAAATCCCAAGTCTTCCGTAGCGTGGTGACGAATCTCGGGTGTCTGAGGAAGGGGAACTTGGCACTGGAGACCCAAACTGGCCCAGGTCAGGGCGCAGCAGCGGGGGTCCTGCAAGCCAGGCTCCAGAGAGGCTGGTCGGCCAACCAGATTGCCCCGTTGAAGGGTTTGGGCCCGGTTTGGGAGCCGCGTGGAAGTCCTGCAGTCACACCTGGGCTGTGAGCACAGGGAGGCCACTGAGCATGCGGTGGGCGTCCTGAGAGTCCTGCTCAGACACAGCTGCCCGTCCTTACGACCGGTGGGCCCTGTGAGCAGAGGTCAATGACGGCCTTGAACACAGCGACTGCCAAGTGAAGCTCTTGAATTAAGGTGGCTCCCATGGCAGAGCTGGTGAATGTGTCCGCTGCCACGGGAGGCCTCGGTGTGCACAGGGACACTTGGAGGACTCCTTTGTTGATTGTTTTAAGGCACTGTCTGCAAGATTCAAAAGTGGAGACCAAGTGGGCTCAGAAACAGGCTCTGGGGCAGCCCTGGTGGCGCAGCGGTTTAGGGCCACTTGCAGCCCAGGGCATGATCCTGGAGTCGCGGGATCGAGTCCCACATCAGGCTCCCTGCATGGAGCCTGCTTGTCCCTCTGCCTGTGTCTCTGCCTCTCTCTCTGTGTGTGTGTGTGTGTCTCATGAATAAATAAATAAATAAAATCTTTTTAAAAAAGAAAAAGAAACAAGCTCTGATTCCCCCCCCCGACTCCATGACCTTTTTTTTTTTTTTTTAAGATCTTTTTTAAAATAAATAAATAAAGATGTTATTTATTTGAGAGGTGCCTGGGTGGTTCAATCAGTGAAGCATCTGCCTTCTGCTCAGGTCATGATGTTAGGGTCCTGTGATCGAGTCCCGCATCTGGCTCCCTGCTCAGTGGGTGTCTGTTTCTCTTTCTCTCTCTGCCCCTAACCTCACTTGTGCTCGTTTGCTGTCTCTCAAATAAATAAAAATATATATTAAAAAAAGATTTTTAAAAAAGGTTTTTTAAAAATATTTCTGAGAGACACAGAGAGAGGCAGAGGGAGAAGCAGGCTCCCTGCAGGGAGCCCAATGCGGGACTCGATCCCAGATCCCGGGGTCACGCCCTGGGCGGAAGGTAGGTGCCCAACCACTGAGCGTCCCTCCCAAAAAAGATTATTTGTGTGAGAGCATGAGCAGGGGGAGGGACTGAGGGAGCAGCAGACTCCACTGAGCAGGGAGCCTGACCCGGGGGCTCCATCCCAGGACCCCAGGATCATGACCTGAGCTGAAGGCAGCTGTCACCAACTAAGCCACCCACGTGCCCCCTGTGATGACCCACATTACTTGTTCGCCTTCCTGCATTTCATGAGAAGGCAGGCAAATTTTTTTTTTAAGAATTTTATTTATTTATAGAGACAGAGAGGCAGAGACACAGGCAGAGGGAGAAGCAGGCTCCATGCAGGGAGCCCAACGTGGGACTCGATCCAGGGTCTCCAGGATCATGCCCTGGGCTGCAGGCTAACCCTGCTCTCCCTTTCTTTTCTTTTTTCTTTTTTAAAAAGATTTTATTTGTTTATTTTAAGATTTTAGTTATTTATTCATGAAAGACACAGAGAAAGAGAGGCAGAGACACAGGCAGAGGGAGAGGCAGGCTCCATGCAGGGAGCCTGATGTGGGACTCGATCCCAGGACTCCAGGATCATACCCTGGGCCCAAGGCAGGCGCTAAACCGCTGAGCCACCCGGGCTGCCCCTGCTCTCCCTTTCTTAAGACACGATGTTCTGTGCTCTGCTTTTCCTCCTTAATGCTCTGCCCTGGGGTGCCAGCCATACCCACTCCCTAAGGCCCTTTGAGGGAGACCCTTTCTGATGCCTGGTGCCACAAACGTGTCGATTCCTGCTGTCGGGTGTTCCAGGTGGCCAGTGCCTTCAGTGGGAACATCGGACTTCCCTGTGGGATCAGAGAGCAGGCTTGCTCCAGATGGAATAGCAGGGAAAGCTAGTGACTTCACGTTGTATGAGCTGTGCACCCCACATGACGGTCCAGTACAACAGTCACCTGGTATAAAGGGTGAAAGTCAGTATCGGGGCCTGCAGCCAACATTTACCCTCATTTACTTTGGGCATGGGTTCCATGTAGGTTTTTTGTTTGTTTTTATTTTTTGTGGTGTTTTTTTTTTCTTTTTATATTTTTTAAGATTTTATTTATTCATGAGAGACAGAGGCAGAAACACCGGCAGAGGGAGAAGCAGGCTCCCTATGGGGAGCCTGGTGCAGGAATCGACCCCAGGATCACAGCCTGAGCCACCCAGGTGTCCTCCTCTTTCTTTAAGTAGGCCCCATGCTGGGCATCCCAACATGGGGCCTGAACTCAAGACCCTGGGATAAGACTTGAGCTGAGCAGGGATCCCCGGGTGGCGCAGCGGTTTGGCGCCTGCCTTTGGCCCAGGGCCCGATCCTGGAGACCCGGGATCGAATCCCACATCAGGCTCCTGGTGCATGGAGCCTGCTTCTCCCTCTGCCTGTGTCTCTGCCCCTCTCTCTCTCTCTCTGTGTGACTATCATAAAATAAATAAAAATTAAAAAAAAAAAAAGAAACAAAACAAGGGATGCCTGGGTGGCTCAGCCATTTAGCGCCTACCTTCAGCCCAGGGCGTGATCCTGGGGACCCGGGATCAGTCCCGCATGGGGCTCCCTGCATGGAGCCTGCTTCCCCCCCCGCCTGTGTCTCTCCCTCTGTCTCTCATGAATGAATAATAAAATCTTAAAAAAAAAAAAAAAAGCCAACCCACAGAACTGCACTGTTCCCTCTGGGTGCGCTTGCCCGCACACTTGGGCAGGTTTTATAAGCAACACCATCAAGAGCAGACAGCTTTTTCTATATTCAGGAACATTTTCTTAGGAAGGATAACCCTAGATTAGGGGAGGGGGTTCATTAAGGCCGGGCCCATCATTCTTGCTTCAACAGCTTTCTCTGAAATTGGTACCAGGTCTCCTACGTCCTGTGATCCTGGAATCCTTCATGCTCTTGAATCCGTCCTTTCCTTGCTGCGCGCTCCATGCCTGCTGACCCACTCCCCCGACCTCGGCCTCCTGGCGCTCGCAGCCCGGTGTCCTGGGAAGCCTTGGATGTCCCCAGGTTTCGTTTCTTTTCTTTTCTCTTCTCTTCTTTTCCTTCTTTCTTTCTTTTCTTTCCTTTTTTCTTTCTTTTCTCTCTTTTCTTTCCTTCGTTTCTTTCTTTTCTCTTTCTTTCTTTCTTTCTTTCTTTCTTTCTTTCTTTCTTTCTTTCTTTCTTTCTTTCTCTCTTTCTCTCTTTCTCTCTTTCTTCTCTTTCTCTCTCTCTCTCTCTCTTTCTCCCTTTCTCTCATCTTATTTATTCATGAGACAGAGAGAGAGAGGGAGGCAGACGGAGGAGCAGGCTCCACGCAGGGAGCCCGAGGCAGGACTCGATCCGCGACCCCGGGGTCA